TAATCATAAAACGTTTGAATAAATGTATTGCAACCTTCAAGGCGTTAAAAATATGTTTCGCTACTTTAATTACCAAAATATAAAACCAAATTTCCAAAAACACTAACTGATCATTTTACATTCACACTCATTTTCATCTCGAATCAAATAATTATTCTGAAAGCTTCCTTCAAGATTCCTTCGGATTTGTTTTGAAAACATTTACTATATAATTCACTATCTTCTATCTTGGTGCATTGATTGTTTACAATTTGAATTTGTCCGATTTGAACCTTGCGCATGGATTTGCATATGAAACACGTGGTTTTCTCGCACGTAACATGCGTGCACATGTGTTCGTGCGCGCGTGAAAATTCTTTGTGAAACCGCGGCGCGCCATATGTATACATGTAGGTTTTCCGCGAACACCTATGGGGCAGATTGGGGTATAATATGAATAATATTAATGGAATTGCGGTAAATGTAAATTTAGAAGATTAGGATTACAGGCCGCTAGATCATATCATAATTTGTCATTTCTTACTATCAAAAATTATCTACTTTTTCTAATTATCTATTAGACAAATTATATTTCAATTTATCAATAATCCATATATCATACTGTAAAAAACTGCATCACTAGATGCAGATCTTAGCTTTTTCTTTCTTTGTTCAATTCTAACCCATGCAATTGATTTTATATCTCTTGTAGATAGATCAAATAAAATTATAATAAAAAAAAGAAATTATCAATTATCAATTTATATTTGATATACAATTTGAAATAATAAAATTACCATAAACAGGTATTCCATATTTTAATCGGTTCGAAAACAAGCTTTAATTTAAAATATAGTGTTTCGCTTACTATTAGGTGGTATTAGTAGTAATTCCATATTCTCAGTCATTAGAATTAGATTTCAATTAGATTAAATTAGAATTTTAAATAATTACCTATACAAAATCTTATATTGCACTAGATCTTTCGCACGAAAAAGATAGCAAAATTATTTTGAGGCGGGAGTAAAAATAAACACAATGAGGCAGAAGATTATGACAGAAATTCTGCTTAATATTAATATAATATTTTTAAAAATATATTTTGTTGATATCAAAATTTTCCGTTATTCAAGTAAATGTGAATCAGATATCCTTTAATGCATGGTGTGCATGCATATGGTGACACTGTTTCCGGTATAATAAATGCATCTGTTTCATTTATGGAATTTATAGTTTCTTAGTTAACTCCGACTTCTTAATTTTTTGCTTAATATTTTTTGGATGAGGAAGTGAACGGTCTATTTGGCATCTTAAAAACACATTTGTAAATGATATAAAATTTTCCAGACGATTGGGGATAAAGCAACGTAGGCGGAATACAAAACTACAGTTTTAAATGGTTTAAAAAAATAGCGAAGATCACAAAATCTTGAAATTTGAAAAAATTATTATTATATGACTAAAAACTGCATCATGCATTATTTAATATGATAATTTACGGAATTACTTAGAATTTAAAATCACAAACGCAAACATTATAATATTTTTAAAATTACAAAAACGACACTTGTTCATATATAAATTTTATCATAGCATCATGTTGATTGAATTGCGTTCTGTATTAAGTTTTGTTTAATGACTTTCAAATAAAATAATTCAGAATGAATGGATAAATCTATTACATATTTTGATATCAATTGTAGCTTAGTCTATATATATCGCAACAACAATACACCTAAAATTACGTAGGGCCACATATATAACATACATAATAAATACCTACATGGGCGTAATGAAACACTAATTAGTAATTAGCGTAGCAGGGTGCGCAATGCGAGAAGCCTTGTGTATTTTATATGCGTCCGAAGTTTTAGGGGTAGTATAGGGATGAGAAATTCTTTAGAAAGTTAGATGAATAATATTTATTCCAATTGGTCAAAAAATTTCATCTATAAGCGTTCAATTACAATGTTTCTATGTCGATTACACCGATGAATATTTCTTTCCTATCGCTATTTGGGAGCTCATCAAGTGGCCCATGGTTTTTCCCCAGTCCGAACGACCATCCGCCGCCCGTTCAATATTTGGAGAGTGGGTTTTTCTTCTTCTCCGCCCAATTAAAACCTTCGTAACGACGCTGGCAATCGATAGGCTGTCCCCCACTTTTTCAGCGCCTTCTGCTTTCTTAGCGGAATCCCCCCACGGCCGTCGGACAGATCCCAGAGATCGACTCGGGCGTCGAAGAAGAGATTGTCAAGCTTTTTTGTGGTCATTTGTAATTGATATATTCATCCACTAAATTAATCAATATTATAATTGAATTTAATAATGATTAAGAATTGAAATACTCATTAATTCATTTAGTCTTAGTCTAAGTCCCGCAAATTGATCTAAATTAAATGAACAACCGTTTTAAAATTTATTATTTACCTCCTAGTACATTTTTTTTAAGTATTTATGTACAATTTTATTTTTGCCGATTATATTTAAAAACGATGTTTATGCTTTTCATTTTGGTTAAAGCTTTATGTATATATATATTTTTCAAATATACAAAAATATAGATTCGTTTCGTGAGATATAGAACACGTTCGCGGACAATAAAAGTTTCAGCAAGGTACAAAAATGGGCAGTGATTTTATTTTCAAATTTGTTGTGATATCCGAAATTAGATTAAACGCCGTTTATAAGGGTAGTCAGATTATAATATTTTAATCTTTGTATACTATGAATGCTATAGCATTCACGTCAAATACTTCTATCTTACGCAATGTGCTAAAGACAAAGCTAATTTATATATACGGGAAAAGATAAGATAGTACGAAAATACCTAAAAAAGTCAGTCATTACCTTACATGTATAATAATTACAAAAACGTAAGGCTACCTATATAAAATCAAATTCAAAATAATTGTCTTCAAAATTTGAATGCTATAGCAATCATGGCATTTATAAAACAATGGAAATGAACGCTATAGCATTCACATGTTAAGCAAAGAAGATTTACAAAATATGTAAAATTCAAACTTATATATTCTATATTTTTACAAGTTCTCCCTTATCAATTTGCTATTTTGTGCTATTTTTACCTACATTTTCATTTACTTTTTTGCTCTATTCTAATTCCCCATTAGTGAGGCATGTAATCTTAAAGGGTCATTAGTGTAATTCGAAATTAAAACCACCTTGTTTTTAGAGAATTCAAAGTCATTTTTAACTAATGTTAACGTTTTTGGAGATGGGTATCTTTATCCATTACTCTTGTGCTGCCGCTGGCTCGGCTCAATGTCGCCGTCCGTATTGCCTTTTAGCACGAAACCTTCTCAAAAACATGTGATCACACATTCAAGCATGTCAGACACAAATATGCTATGTCAAACATTAATCTGTAAATTTATATAAATGTATGAAGGATTTGCGTGATATATTCTTATGATGTATAAATATTTTTGTTAACGATTCATGTGCTGCCATATGCAGCGAAAAGGAGGCAAGGATAATACATTTTTGTCATTGACGCAGGCTAAAAATTATTTCAACATGTGCAAATTTTAGGTCGCAAAAACTAAGTCAGTTTAGAAAGTTTCAGAGAATTCTATTGATTGAAGACAACTTTCTTTTTTTACTCAAATACACTAGTTCGCAAAACATTTTGCTACGATTAGAAACAGTTTAACTAAACTTTAGCTTCTAAATTTTTTATTTCTTTGTGGTGAAATATTGAATTAATTAATGGCATTGCTATTGACGATAATTTCTTTATCTAACTAGTGGGAATAGGTTGGGAATCACCAGCTGCCGTCGCATAGGATCGTTTCGCTCTCATTTAACATTTTTTCTCTTCGATTTCAAAACGGATACGTCAATGAAGTGTTAGACACTTCGATAACATATCTAAATATAGACTCAGTTGCTGACACTTTGCTATGAACTCCTTCTAATTAATATTTTTTGTTATTTGCCATCTGGAGCAGTAGTTGTTAAAAACCTAACAGTTTTCCCTAATGTATTGATAAATTCACGATAAGTCTACATATTTAAAAGTAATCTCAGTCATTAATGCTTTGGTATTATCTCCAATTAATTACGAACTTTTACTTATTTTTACCTGAGATATTAATTAATGAATATTATTTAAACGTTTAGAAATAATTAATAATGATTATAATAGATGTTCACTTTATAACATTGTTTAACGATTCCAAAATTCTGTCACCCATGAAAAATGTACATCAATCAAAAGACAACCGTATAAATATAAAATGACGCGCGTGTTTGTGACACAAGCGAATCGTTTTCTTATTGTATAAAATTTTCGAAGAATTGACAGTGTTGTATCTTCCGCTCACCTACTATAGAAACATCCAGATAGGAAAACATCTGAATAAAAAAACAACACGTTTGCATTATTGGAGAAAACTATAAAATTTTTCGGATTCATCTGAAGACGCTCGATCGATTGAAAATCGTTGAAGCTGAAAGACGTTGGCGCGAACAATAGAGGTTTTCGAGCACGCATCTTGAATCGTGTTTATACTTTTACTTATTTCACTGAATTTTATTGTGTCGCATTATCCTCGGATGACAAACATAAATTGCAGAAATCACGTTATGTTTGTACACACGGCCGATGAATAGTCATTTGAATGAATTTTAGTAGCCCATGGGACTTTGCCGCACGTATAATGTTTTTATGATTTTTTTATATTTTTACTACTGCCTTTTGTTTAGGTCTTACTTATTTTATTTCATTTACGAATGTAATTTATTGATTAATTAACCTATTTGTCAATTTAATATATTATATTTAACAATTTTTTATTTTAAACCATTTACTTATATTTTCCTTTTTCTTTTTAGGTATAAGTGTGCGAGCTTTGGCGTCCTTAAAACTCGATCCTGAAGATCGCCCATCGTCTCACAGTCCGCCTATGAGCTTGAACAACAATAATTCAAATTCAGGAATGAATACTACACCTACATACCCTTGCGGGCCTTACCCCGGAGTTCCATCGCCACCGATGTCTCTGCTGACTCCTGGTCAACTCTTAGCTGCAAACCATACGGCTGCAGCCCTAATGGCAGCAGGTCTGCCGGTGAGCAGCTTATTTGCTCATCACACATTATTCGGAGGGTGGCCTACTGCCCATAATACTTCGCCACCACCACAGCCACAGACACCAATCAAATCAGGAAAGAAGAATATGCTGAATCTCAATAATAATAATAACAACAATGATAACAATAACGAGTATGTGAGGCTAGATAAGAAGACTTTAAAACGCAAGGCGCAACCAAGAACAGTTTTGGCAGAAACACCTCCTTTATCTCCACCTACCTCTGGATCATCACCTGATACAGCGCCAACTTTGACAAAGGATCCGTCTCGTGATAAAACTTTCACATGTAAGGTTTGCTCACGATCTTTCGGCTATAAACACGTGCTTCAAAATCATGAACGAACACATACAGGCGAGAAACCGTTTTCTTGCACAGAATGCGGGAAGAGATTCACCAGAGACCATCATTTGAAAACGCATATGCGTCTTCATACGGGTGAGAAGCCATACCATTGTTCATACTGCGAAAGACAATTCGTTCAAGTAGCTAATTTACGGAGACACATCTTAGTGCATACCAAAGAACGCCCTTATGGCTGTGAATTATGCCAAGCGAAGTTTGCGGATTCCAACCAACTGAAAGCGCATGCTTTGACCCATGCGGCTGAAGTTGCTGATAGACCGTTAAAAGGCGCAAGAAAATCTGTTGATGTCAGAAGAGTTGTTCGACCACCACCAATCACGAAACCTTTGGCTCCTTTACTAGTAACGGCATGTTCGGAACCAGAACAAACAGAACCAGAAGATTTATCAGTGGGTGCAAGGAACCACTCCCTGAGCAGCGCTCCTGACTCCAGCCTATCTCCTGTCAGTATGAGCGACCCCGAAGACCTGGACGACGCCGCCGCTTTGTATCTCCAGCAGCGCCAAGCTAAGCTCAGGCGACACATGGAACACCGCTGAGTTGTAAGGTTAATTATTTAAGAACAAAGAATAAATGTATATGAATGTATAGATATAATTATATGTATAGATATGAAAAATCAGGGACTATTATGTTGTAATTAATTGATACGAATGAATTATTATTATTATTATTATTATTATTATTATTATGTGTACAGTTATAATGTTATTTCTTTTGCTATGGAAGTTCCTCGATATAGTTTAAAAAATCAGGCGGAGCGGGCCACCGTTTTGTACCTCAACTCTGATCTACCTCATGTTCTTAATTGTATATATTGTAAATAATTTATAAATCACGTTGGTTCGCTTCGCCTAGTCATATGAATTATAGTCATTTATTATGCAAATTGTTTGTATCGTTTAAAGGATAGAATTTATGTAAACCAAGATTTTTTATTACCGGTGAATAAAATTATATATTTTTATTAATTTATTTTGTTTTTACTTTATTGTTTGATTGATTTTGTAGTTTATTATGTTTTTCTTTCAGTTTTTATGAATGTTTGAATTACAAATTATTATTGAACTAATTTTATATTAATTATACAACTTGCAATATGATCATTTCAGTTCAATATTTTTATATATTTTCTCATTAACTGCTTAAAATCACACAATGCACAATACACACCATGAGCCGTGACGTAGTAGTTTTCTATTATTTATTTTATATCAAACGAACTCGGACAATGGATAAAAATTTGATAAAATACATTTTTATACGCAAAACGGGAATTAAACATACACCCTTCGTTTTGAGGGTCCAGTATCTCTTGCGTAACAAAGGCCATATGTAAAATAAATGCAAAATTAGGGGTTCCGTGAATATGTATTTTTTCACGTATTTTTGAAAACTATCACAAGGATTAGCGAGGGTTATGTATGACCAAGGGTGAAAAATTTTATTTCTCATATACCTTTTGAATATTCATAATTGTTCGACAGCATCATTTATACACAAAAAGAGAACTTTATAATAGTAATAGTATATTTGTGTATTAACCATTAAAGTTTTGCGCAGAGCTTGCACAAACTATTTTTGCAAAATGCTAATTTTTTTTAAACAAATTACTATATAGAAGGTCACACACAAAATCATTCAAACGAACAGAAACTAGAAATCCTGTACCTGCCCGTAAAGTCGTCTTTTGGCACAATTGTCTGCAAAATCAATGACAATTCGCCAGTAAAAATATTTGCGAAGCAAAGAAATAGTTTTGAAAGTTTTAACCAAATTGGAGCAGTTTCTATATTTTTATTGCTTTCAAAGAAGATATTGCCTTTTAGGTACGGTCGTATTGTCCTTGGCAGAACCGTTCGTGTACCCGTTTGCAATTTATTTATGGTTTTATTTCGTGTCCTTTTTCTGGCATTTGCAAACATGCAAATTCGCTTCCGTCTTTTCTAAAACATAGATTTTGCATGCACTACATGTTCTTGGTAACAATCTTTTTAAAACGTGAACACTTGAGATCCAATACTTACACACTACATAGTAAAGAACATTCTTTAAATTTTTAAATTTTATCATTAATTTTATTATTTTTAACAGTTTTTGTATAAATTATTTAAAAAAAGTCTAATCTATGTTTGAAAGTTCTTTATTTTTAAGATTAATAATTTTTTCTATCTTTTTTTTATTAAAGACATTATTATGTTACAATTTGTGTTGATATTACGGAATATTTTCAAATAAATAATATATCATAGTAGAATTTACGATATAAAACGAATTTACTAATTATAGATAATATAATAGATTATAAATTAAAATTTAACGTAATATAACAAAGATTGAAATATTCGAGTTAGAAAAATCATAGTTTTAGAAGGTAAATTTATAAAAAATATATAGAAAATGAAGGAAAACATTGATAAAACTATCAAACATGGAGCTTTCATTTATTTAGATAAATGTTATCAATCTGTAAGAACTTCATTTAAACCTCAAAAAACGATTACCTCGCAAATGAAACTAAAATATTTACAAAACGTAAAATTTAATTATATTTTCAATGTAAACAAATTTAAAATCTATGTGTAAAATGGGTGTATCTATGGAAGCATTATATAAATATTTAGATGTTGTTACATAAATAATGTTACAATAATTTTTCAAAAAAATCGCCGTTATAAGTGAATATTTAATTCGTAATATTTAATCATTTGACTGCTTTTTAGATAAAAAATAAAAATTTATATGATCAAATTTATTATATTTATTTTTGGATTTTTTTACTTGTTGTTATAGTCGACAATCTCATGAGATAAAATAAATATTATATGTAAAACCGATTGCTAATTAACTGGAAATATTTATATTTATTAAAAACTTATTGATGTATTATTTTTTAATTACGTCGCAGTCAAATGATAAAATAATATTTTTTTAATGCAGTGATAATTTTTTATAAGATTTTGTTATGGTGTTATATTTTTTCTCGTTTGAACAATGAATTAGGATTTAAAAACATACAATTCTTCAAGTTTTTAACTAAATGTACAAACATCATAATAACTTAAAATTGTAATAATTCCATAATCTGAAATAATCTACCTCAATATTGAAAAAACAGAGTTGTGAAGTGAATTCCAACGAAATACAAGTAAACCACAAGACTGATTTGAATATAGTATTTATTATGAATCATTATGTAGCAAAATGGAGTTATATTATTAGCATTCAATTTTAAAACAAAAGTTCATACAAAGTACAATTGACTTAGCTAATACGAAACATGTGGAAAATGTTACAGAGTATAGTCTATAAAACATAAAATTAGATATATTAATTTGTTTACTCTTAAACACTAATTGATGACCAAAAATATAATTCAGTTTATTGTAATATGTTTGTTTCTAAACATATAATAGGTCCTAAAGCTCAGCACGTTTTTTCGACAGATTTACGGGGTTTATAATTAACAATATAGGCAAAACAGAAAGAAAAATAACCTTTTTAACTTTAAAATGTCCCTAAAAATGTTAACTGCAGTATGCCAATTCTCTATTTAAAATTAAAACTTTGGGCGTTCTGCGATCAATAACAAGTTGATATTAAAATGGTGTTTAATTCCTTCATGTATTCCCAGTGTTAAATTACATTCGCTGTTATATTGATATGGAATCAAACATGAAATTTGAAATGTATATTCATGTAATATTTGATTTATCTATATATGTAATGTTATTGTCAACACTATTTTTATTATTAAAAAAATACAAATTAAGAAAGTTGTTTTCTTATGAATATTTTTTTGTTTGGGTGTTATTTTAGTACTAAAGCTTCCACTTGTTTACTAATTAACTTCCCGAAAATAAAATTTTTTGCACATCTTTCTGTTTCAAAGTTTTCTGAACATTTTTGCATACTTTAGAAAAAAAAATGAATGAATGTGTGTATGTGTGTGTATATTTGGATACAAATTTTCGTCGACAAATTCAAGGATTCAAAAAATATTTTACTGTATTAATGAAATGAAAAAGTGGTGAAATTTTTTGGTAAGACAGATCTAGCGGTTCGGATATACAGAGAAAAAGGTAAAAAAATGATATTTGGCGGTGAAAAAATGATCATTAGAAATATGCACATCCAACTATCAGATATCTTAAAAAGATTTAAACATGTGGACTAATTTTGTTACAATTTTTTGGGGTTCCGTACCAAGTATTTGACTTTTTAAAGTTAACTTATATGGTTCACACAAATTTCAAAATTTTCTGAT